GCATCGGTGACAGGAGAATCAGCGGGCACTAACATAACCTCCAACTAAAATTGGGCCACAATTTGGGCCTCCCATGATAGAATTATGGGTTGCAAAAATGGGCTATTTAGTTCTTTTTTGAACTCATAAACGTCATTGACGTGAACTAAGTAATTTTGTAATGTCAATTCGAAGTGGTCCAAAGCCGAACAACACTATTTGCAAACTGTGATGCAATTTTTTTTTTTTTTTAAATGTATAATTAATAAATGAAGAGTTAAATATTGATTGACCTGATAATAAAAAAGAAAAAAGAGAATCTAACATAGTCTTCCGAGTTCGAGTTTCCTTGATGGTAAAAAAGCAAGAGTGAGATCTAACACAGTCTCTCGAGTTTGAGTCTCTTTGATTGTAAAAGAGAAAGAGAATGATCTAACATAGTCTTCAGAGTTCGAGCTCTACAACCCCTAATAGGGATGATCATTGGAGCTCTTACCCGACTGGTAGTTTCAAGGTCTTAGGAGATTAGTTGAAGTATGCACAAACTAGTCCGGACATCCCTGGTCCTTTAAAAAAAAAAAAGAGTTAAATATTATTTTTTAAAAAATAGAAAAATAGAAAACAGAGTAGAATACATAGGGTGCCTACTCTATTGGGTGGTACATAAATCGGACACTTGCACGTCCCTAAAGACCGGCAAATTTTTTCCGAACATTTGATTCTTATTGATGGTTACCTAACAGCAAAGAGTGGTCCTCAGGACCACTGCATATATTGTTGCAGTCTATCACAAACCAAATTGACCCTATTGTTTGTAGATAATTGGTTTCTTGGTCGGATCGATATGTTAATTTTCTCATTCAACTTTCGTCTTCTTCATTACTTACTTTTTTAGTCATTTCTCACTTTCTTTCACGAGACAAAGTCTAGCCCACATGATATTGATGGATGACTGCTTCTGCTTCATCTCCTGTTTTTGATTTTATCTCGTTCTTTGGATGTTCGACTCCTTTTACCATTTTCATTTAGTGTTCATATTGAAATATATAGCTAGTAGTTCAATTCAATGAACCTGGTGGCCGAAAGAAATGGCAAGATTCAAAGCGAGAGTGACACACACCCAATACTGCAACAGTTGAAGTCACTAAAGAGAGACCAAATCGTGGAAGAATGCCGACTAACCTAATTAATAAAATAATATCAGTCAAAAAGTCTTCTGTGACAATATGAATTGCAAGTATGACTCTAAGTTTGTTTCAGACAGAAAAGATTTTCCATTGAAAACAACCGTCCATTTTGATCATCGTCGTCATCGTCATCGTCATCATCACTATCACAATATATATAGATACACATGAAATGGCGCAATCTCTTGCGCAAGCACCAACTTATTGACGGAGGAGGAGTTGGGTAGACTTTAGAAGCTCTTGAGTTGCTTTCAGCCAATAACAAACTGCCCAAACCAGTGGGATACATATCTTTTTCTCCTCCGTTTAAAAAAAAAAAAGAAAAAAAAAAAAAAAAAAGTGAATTGGAAACTTGGAAAGTTCCTTTCTTTGACTTGATCTTTCTCGAGAATGGCATTTTCTTTCTAGTGACTTCTGACTAATGTTTGGGAAAGCGATATTTCTAATGGGAAACCAAATCTCGCCATGCTTTTAAACTGTATATAATATGCTTTTATTTCTTAGATATATTCATTTGATGATTCTATGTTCTAAAACCACTCACACAAATATAATATTCCCCTTTTCATTATTGGGGCCAAAAAGAATTTCAAAGGCAGCTATGGCATTTGTCTTTGGACGGTTATCATTTGTCAATGCTTTTCAGTTTTCCTCATAAATTATTACTTTAGGGCGCGCAGGTCTTTGGTCATAGTAAATCTCCATTTAGTTTATATTCCGCAAATTAATTTAATGAATAATCAAGGAAACATATCCAAACAAACAAGACAGGGTTACGGAAATAGTGTTATTTTGTTTACAAACATGTTCCGTCTGGAGGGTCCAAAATCAGTCAAGGTTATCTGCAGAAATGCATACATAAAAATCCCTTCACGTGAACTTATATTTAATATGCGGCACAGAGTTGGCACTAAATAAACCCTACTACATGTGCGCAAGATATCTGTAATGTCACTGTTTAATTGATTCATTTGACAATTACCAATGATATATGTTATGTCTGAAAAAGTAGGGTCGACGCGGAGTCTTATCAGCATGGGATGGTCAGAACTTAAGAAAGTTCTGTGACCGTTCACACGCACCCACATCGCATAATGACGTAAATGGCATGCTCCTGTCAGTGTAATGGGTGAGTGTCAGGCTAGCAAATGGTTGGAATCGTCAACGTGTCCAATCCCTGTATAAGTTGAGGAAATCATTCGGGCAGGTAATCAATATGACACAGAGAAGGATTTGCACGGTATCCACCCACTTGCAGAATTAGTAATCATTACCTTGATTTATCCCACTATAAATAAAGGCATTCTCTCTCATTTGCAGGATTAGCTAATTTCACTCTAAAATAGCTTACTCTCTCTCTCTCTCTCTCTCTCTCTCTCATTTGTAATCTTTAAGCTGTAACTCAGTTCGCTTAATGTGACCTGACCTTATTCATTAATACAATACCAGTGGACGTAAGATTCGCATTTAAGCATCCGAACCACTTTAAACATTACTTCTCACCCTTTATTAAATTCAATACCCTCATATCACATATGATTTCTAATTCTTTTTAGCCTTTCTCACGTGCGAATAGTTGGTGTCAAAATCTAGCATCAATAATATAGATAGTGTTGAGTCATCTTGGCAAAAGAGAGAGTAGAGTGAGCTTCGCTTCGATTTCGAAAAAATAAGTAGGTCAAAATATATGGATAGTGTTGATGCGATAATTTGTATCAACCAAAGATACCCAACTGATCCTGGAGGAGACCTAGCAAGATGTGCGTTTGGTAACCAACAAGTCCGCTAAAGCGACTTAATAAAGTAAAGAACTTAAGAGATTTTATAGTGGTTCGGCTGTATAGAAATTAATCTTACATTCATTGTCATTTTATTGTTGAGGGGTGTTACAAGGTCGAATGAGGTTACAAAAAGGGGAGTTTGTGAGTTGAACAGAAGACATTTATTCCTCGTTATTTATCCATTCTTAACTCTTTTTAAAAGATCACTGTATTTTCCTCTTGAGCTTTACTAGTGCTGGAATCGTCATTTGAAAAGGAGGTTCTATGCTGCTTTTACACTCAGCACATCTGATGACAATGATTGAGAGTGAGTGTTATGGGGTTGCTTGCATGCATAATCCTCCTAATTAGGATTTGAGTCAATAATTCTTATGCTTGTGATAGACCGGGTCATGCTAATGGTAGCTTAACCCATACTTATGACAATAATTACCTTGAGAAAGAAGTCAAGCGCCAATGGGACGACACGTAGGAGGATCCCGGTTGTCGGGCTTTGATGTACTTAAGGATGATAAAGTGGGCTTGAGTAGAACTCACTCCCAAAAGCTAGCTCAAGGAAGGAGGGAGCCCAATTACTTATATACACCATAACAGCCTACTATTAGAGCGATGTGGGACAAATTCAACTTCTAACACCCTCCCTCACGCTCGGCGTGCAAAGTCGGGGTCCAAACCTATCATCGCCCCAACCAAAGAGGGGAAAGAAACAAACGTGGCTCTGATACCATGATAAAGTGGGCTTGAGTAGAACTCACTCCCAAAAACTAGCTCAAGGGAGGAGGGAGCCCAATCACTTATATACACCATAACAACCCATTATTAGGGCGATGTGGGATAAATTCAACTTCTAACAAAGGACACGCGGCACAAATCTGACCATCCAAGAATTGGGCACAATAGATAGGAATACCCGGCGTCCTGGAAACAATTCAACTGTTTTCGCTTTGTATGTTCACATTTGTGCTTCCATTTAGGTAAAAGAGGTTCGTCCAAAACTATGTCGGCTACCTGTGAAGAATTGGGTTTACAAGCTGATTTGTTGATGGTTCATTATTTTATTATCAAGTAAAACGAGACACCTTGGACTTTAAGTGAAAAAAAGGATGGATGTTATTTGAGCTGGTGGGTTCAATTTGCAAACATTGAACTGACATATATATATGTTTTTTTTTTTTTTTTTTTTTATGACCAGGGGTTGTCCGGGCCAACTTACACACACCTCAACCTTTAACTAATCTATCAGGATCCTGAAACTACCAACTGGGTAAGAGTTTTAATAACCACCCCTATTAGCAACCGTGGGGACTCGAACTCGGAAGATCATATTAGATCCTCCTCTTGCTCTTTTACTTTAAGGGGACTCTAATTTGTTGTAAATATTAATATTAAAAAGATTTTATAAAATTATGAAACTCGTATAATAGTCAATAGATAGAAGATTGAAGTAGCACGTGGGTATATTAGAATGGCTATGAAATGGTGAGTCAAGAAAAGGGTGGTGGTGAAGAAGAGATGAGATGGTCAAAACAAACTCTTCATGAGAGCGACTTTCGGTTGGGCTGGCTGCTCAATTTCAAATGAAAAAAGCTTTCCCTTTCAGAGTCTATTCTCGCACTGTTTTATTTTGTGTGGGGGCTGCCTTCCGTTCAAAACCATGAGATTGTGACTGTGACATTAATGGCTCCCTCTTTTTATTGAGATTTCATTTGATTCACACTAACTTTGGTAAAAATTGAACAAAATAATGTTATATATGTGAGATGAATTGATCAGATTGCCTTATATTAATATATTTCGAAAAATTAGGTAATAGTGGGTGTTGTTTTCGAAACCAAGGGGGGAAAGTGTTCTTTTGCAATAGATTAGGGGCCAACTTGTCATTCGGCCTGGATGTTGTGATATGTAAACTCTTGATATCACCGATCTTCTCCACCCCACTAAACTTTTTCCGGTTCATTGTTTATTCCTTTAGAAACTTTATAGAATTTGAATATTTTTACAATATTATCAAAGTATAATTATTATTCAATATTTAAAGGGCATTTAAGGAATTTGACATAAGTGCAGAAGAATGAAACTTGCATAACTAGTACAAAGGGTAGTTGAGGATACATATAGATAGATAAGTATATTTATATATAAACGAGGAAGAAATAAAATTAAATAAGAGAAAGTACAGGCTATACATATATATATATATATATATATATTCCATCTATGGCAAGTTGAGTGAACTATTAAAAGGTTTGACAAAACCCTAATTTTTGCTATATTGGGGAAATATGGTTTTGGTTTTGGCTTTGGTTTGACCGAACATTTTTCTCAAACTGCCCAAGCCTAAAATCAGCCAACTTGGACTTGTAGGCAGAGTATTTGTATTCACACCAAGTGAACTCCTTGTACAAGCAATCTTCTTCTTTTGAAACTAGGGAGGGTAAAGGTGTTATCTTTTCATTTAAAGGTGGCCCTCCAAAATATATCATTGAAATTCTTGATTTCATTGTGTCAGCCAACACTCTATGCTTAACACTTTGGAATCTCCCGTTGGTCAATACCTGCATCAAATCCAAACTCAAATTAGACCTTAAAATAAACATTAAAATAGAAAGATTGATATAGATAGATACCCATTAAAGTTTTACCAGAAGTTTTCCAAAGGCAATGGTAAAAAAGTTTGAACAATAAAGTTTTACCACTCAAAATCATAGTATTTGTCCATATTTGGGATGTTTTGGAAAACCAACTTTAAAACAGAAACAAGGGAAAATAGATTTGATGTTGTCAATATTTGAAGAGGCACCAAAACCTTTCCATGTTTGGAAAAGAGAGAGAAGGGAATGAAAAATTGGAAGGATGGAGCTTGTGTATTATATATAATATTTGTTACCTGCAGAGCATCACCAACAAAGATGAAAAAGGAAGAGTGATCTGGTGGGACAGAAACCCAAGTGTCATCTCTTAAACAAATTTGAAGTCCTGAAGTATTGTTAGATCTTAGTACAGAAATTATCTGAGGGTCTGTGTGTTCCCCAAACCCAATCAAATTTCTACCACTCAATGTTTGCAGTTCAGGACATGGTGGGTAATGGTTTAGCCTGAAACACGAGTCACTTTTTTCATCTCTTATAAGCTTACTCAACACATTCCTTGGCTCTATTCTTAGCCCATCAGCCGCCAATTCCAGTACTTCGTATGCCATTTTCTTCACGTCTGTTATGTACTTCTCCACAGCACTCCTATGAAAAAAACAACTGACATTATAATACAGGCTTTTATATGATAAAGAAAGCAACTTTGCAGAATTTTACCGGAAAATTTGAGGGCTGTCTTTGAAAACGGCAAGAGTTTTTTGGCAATTGATTTCAGGGTTGGTGTTGAGGAGGAGGTATTCAATCCAACCAACATCCCCATTGGGGCCAATTCTTTTGCTGCCATAGCCATAAGGGTCAGGAGGTCCAGCTTTGTCTTTCTCAGACTGAGAGAGGTTAAAGAACTTGACAGCTTGGGCTTCTAAATTGGCCATGAACTCCAATGGAACATCGTGATTAATGAGCTTGAAGAACCCATATTCTTCACAGGCTTTTACTATATGAGACTTGGCTTCAGGGTTTTTGATGTCTATAACTGGAATTTCTGAGAATACGCAGCTTGAAGGCTTGTATGTTTTGATTACAGAGAAATGTTCTAATGCTGATTGTGAAAGAACCACCATGGTTTGGTTTGGTTTGGTTTGGTTCTTTAAAACAAAACACAAACGAATACACAACAGAGAGAAAGAGAAATAGATAATGAAAAAGAGAGGAGAAGCGCAGAAGTGAGAATGGTGTGAAGAGATTGACCTCATTGAAGCGTTTAAATGGGCAAATGGGAGAGGATTTTCTGAGAGAGAGAGAGAGAGAGAGAGAGCAAGGGCGTTAGTCACTATAAAGAAGCTTTGTGTGTCTGCTTGGCATTTATGCTATCGAGGCCCGACGGAAGGGGGAAGAAATTGCTTCGATTTTTACTTTTTAGTTAATATTTTGTAAAAAGAATTAAATTTAATCAAAAAATAAAAATCTAACACTGACATTCCGATAAATTATATTAACGTTGCTCTCGTGGGGTCTCATTGTCTCTTGCCTATTGGGATGTCTTGTTCTTGTATAATGTTCCATAGACTATAAAAATTTTAACCTATGATCATCAACTCATCGAAAATTTAAATTTTAACCATAAAAGTTCATTCGATCCCACTAGATGGGTTTATTATAAAAGTTCTTTTTATTTCATTTAACACTAAAGAATAAAATATGGGTTAAATATTTATTTTTTTTATGATCAAGGTATCAGGACCAGCTTGTGCACACCTCAATTAATCTTTTGGAGTCCTGAAGTTAACGATTGAATAAGCCTCCAGTGGTCACCTCTATTAGAGGCTGAGGTAGATCGATCTCAACTAATCTTTTGGGACCCTAAAGTTAACAATCCGATAACCTTTCAATAGCCACTTTTATTAGTAGTTGAGGTAGATTGACCTCAACTAATCTTCCAAGGCCTTGAAGTTAACGACTAATAAAGCCTCCAATGACCATCTCTATTAGCAACTGAGGTGGATCGACCTCAATTGATCCCCCAAGGCCCTAAAGTTAGCGATCAGGTAAGTTTCTAGTGGCCACCCTTATTAGAAGTCGAGGTGGATCGAATTTAAGATCTCTTCAGTAATACACTTAAGAGTCTAAATTGATTATTCAGCTGCTCAGTGGTGGTTAAATATGGGTTAAATTTTATTGATACCCAATAAGGAGAATCCGAAATTTAAAAAATTAAACATTGGCACCCAAGAATCATAAGTGTCTATACGTATTTGTGCATTTTAAGGATTTTAGGTTATGGTTAAGGAGGAGTAAGTGCAGAATGGGAATGGATGAGGTTGTAATGGGAAAGAGTGAGTAGTCTCTGTCCAACTGGTTGTGGGTCTTTAAAGCCATCGGGATGATTAAGCACAATGTGTTCACTTCAATGGGTTAACATCTCTACTTCAAAGTGACTTCTATTGAGAATATTTAAATGAATTAATGATTATGCTTGGAAACTTCTTTCATTGTAGGGACCATTTTTTTTTTTTTTTTTTTTACTTATTTCGGATCTTTAAAGACTTTATTAATTTATATATATATATATATATATAGAAAATTATTTTATGAGAAGTAGTTTTCCTTTTTTAAAGTTCCTTTTTTTAATCTATTTCAACTTTCTTTTTAATATTTTAATTGCTCTTCTAATATTAAAAAAGCACTTTTTCAACTGTGATTTAATTTAAAGACATATTTGGGATCTGTTGATGTGTGCCGGATTCAAACACATGGTAGGTAAGTGGGTTCGTCGAGATATTGTTCGCTTTGGGCCTTGAAGCCCGCACGGTTTTGTCCTGAAAAATACACCTCTGGGTGTCATTATGTTATATAATTGATCAATACCCTCGTCTCCTAACTAATGTGGGATTTTGACACCAATATAGCTCCCAGGGGGCGAGGGGCTTGGGAGTGGCCTATACCCTCCTTCTAACGCCAACTTTTGATGTATGTCATATCCAAATACATCCTATGTGGTTCTATTAGTGTCAATTTACTTTTAAGTCTTTCAACTAATTTTCTATGCTAAATATTATAAATCTTTGAGACAATATATATAAAGCGCTATACTTTATTGCTTTCTAAATCCTTGCCTTTTAATTCACCTCTTTAATCGCATTTCCAAAAGAATGAAAATTTAACATCTCCTCTCCCGATTTTCTTCTCTATTTTCTCTCAATCCAAACAGAGTAACAAGAATTCCTAGTAATTGTAGGCCATATAAGGTTTTCAATAAATAATTATTTCTAGTTCTTGTAGGTCCCTTAAAGATACGAGTTTTGATTTAAATGCTACCAAAAATTAAAAATTAAAACACAAAACCTAATCTTCTTGGATACTACCTTATATGCTCTTATAATTAACGTCAAAATTCTCGGCCAATCTAATCATCCAGGCTGGTAATAGAACAGTTGAATTCAAAATTCAGAAAACATCCCATCAAATGTGTCAAATTTTATTAGGGTTTGAGAGCACTCATTCATTCACCAAAAAAAATGCAAGTACATTTAAATTATATCACCGTTCTAATTGCTACTGCCTTTTAAAAGTGATGTAGACCTCGTTTTGTAAAGTCCTTCTCAATGTAATCAAGTATTTTTAATGAAATTTTTACAACTGAACCATGATTTGATTAAATCTAAGAATCCGCAAAGAGAATCCAGTGATATCATCACTTGCTAGATTTTTCTATATCTCTTTTTTTTTTTTTTTTTTTTTTTTAACCGGAGTATTTGGATCAGCTTACACGTATCTTAATTAATCCTTCAAACCTTGAAATTATCAATCGAATGAGAGCTCTAATGACTACCCTTATTAGTAATTGAGGAAAAACTTAAATTCAAGACTTCTTGAGTAATAAACTCAAAAATTTCTATCAAATTATTCGACCATCCAATGATAGTTTAGATTTTTATTTTATTTCCTATTCACAATGCACAATCCTTTTCTTTTTTAATTATATATCATTATAATTCATAGTTTAAATAATTACCAAATCTTACGACAAGAGTTAAGATATGGAAATTAGCAAATGTGATGATGAGACTGAACTTTCAAAGATACAAAACTTTGAAAGAAGGGTCGATAAATGTCACATTAATAAAGACAAACGGTCAAAATTTACTTGGATTATACATTTTGAATTTCTCCTGACAAAGATTTTCACTTATCCATCCACATAGTAAAACTAGGAAAAGAAACCCCTTTTCTACCTTATATATCTATATATATATATTTAGTCATTTAGTTGGCATCAATATTCAATACATTAATTATCTTGTCAAATTTAATTCTGATAATGACATTAACAACAACACTCAGAATTGCCATCCATTTTATCCTTCCTTCTTTTTTCATTTTTAGTGGATAGTTTCAAGGTGGAACATCATCTTTTCTTTTAATGATCGGGGTGTTTTAGACCAATTTTTATATATTTTAATTAATCTTTAGAGTCTATTGTATATCTTATAAATTAAATGTTTCAAGTTAAGTCACAAATGTAATAGGTAATTTCAAGATGATTCGAATTGAGAAAGTCAATAAAAAAAGTAAATCTTTTTAAATGTTAGACCAATCCCTTAAGGTCAAGTGGAACACCATCTCAATATCTTTCATCACATCAAAGATTATATTAGTTTGATTAATTAATGGCGATCGACATCACCCACTTAGGAATGTCAAATCAATCTCTACATATTAGAGTTATGTAATTAAGCTGATTTAGAATGCATATTATGGCTGCAAGTTGTTGTATGTATTGATCATGGAGAAGGAGAAAGTCATTTTCTTTAGATGATATTCTTGGTGATGATTCTCCCAGTCAAATTAAGATCAAGAGACCTTTACGAATCAACAAGATAGTGCTGCCTAAAATCATACATGACGAAGGCCAAAAATATATTAATCAAATATTATTTTAATAATTAAGTTGCCAATTGGAAAACCAATTACTTGTCCCCCTCGAAAACTAATTCAATGACTTGTGGATTCAAATGTTTGAATAATTTGGTCAAATTAATTGAATTTGAAATGCATTATTTCCTGAAGACTAATTAATTAAAACTCTTTTAAAGTTTATACCAATAACGTTAATTTATGTATATATGTTAACCAAAGATTTGCCTAGAAAAAATATCAAACCAAAAATTATGGATATTATTATAATTATTTATGTCATTTTAGGACTTCAAATTCAATTCCAAAGTTGGAGTAAGGTTTAGGTCATAACATCATTCATGCAACATTTATTAATTAATAGATTTTAATTTTTAATACCTTCAGTGATAATTAGGGTATTGGAATCCGCGAATTTCAAAACTTATTTTTATCATAAGAACAATTTCAGCTTAGCAAATTAAGTTGATTACTTTTGGTCACCTAAAGAAGGCAAATATGATTACAAGTTATAGTAGAAATAGTTGGAAAATATATACATTTGCTAAAAGAAAGCCAAAATTTTAGGCTTTCGAAAGGCAAATATGATTATAAATTACACTAGAAATAATTGGAAAATATATACATTTGCTAAAAGAAAGCCAAAGTTTTAGGCTTCAAATCTCTGAAAATATCAATTTAATTTATTGAGTGAAAATCTAGAACTATTATTTGATAATGAAAACTATGAATAATTAACCACAAGTGAATGACTTATAGTCAAAGAGCAAAAAAAGATTTCATAAGCTCTTGAGTTCGAGTACTCCCAGACACTAGAAGATAGTTTCAGAGTCTTAGAAGATTAGTTAAAGTGTGTATAAGTAAACTCGAACAATCCTCTTGTACCAAAAATAAAAAAAATAAAAGAGGAAACCATGAAGAATAATGAATGTTGGATTTAGTTTAGTATAGTTATTCTTCCTCTGCAAAGTAGCTTCGTTTGGTTGGATTTTGGGAATACTACTTTTAGTATTCCTAAAAAAGTTAAACAGTAAAATACCCAAAAACTCACAATATTATTCAACATTTTTTAAACCCCCTAAATTTGTTAATTCAATTAAATACCCCTAAATATTTTTAATGTTTTTGTTACGGCGACTCCGGCCACCCTCCGGCGGTGGTGGTCGGCTGTCCGTATTTGAGGGTGGATTGGGGGTGTTTTTGTTAACTTTTAATATTTTATTATAAGAGGTGTTTTATAAAAAAACAAACATAGGGAGTATTTTATAATTTGTAAATCCTACATCGTAATACTCGTCCAATTCAACTTTTTTTTTAACTTTTTTCAAAAAACTTTTCTCAAAAACACAAAATTGTGAACCAAACGGAACCTATATTATTCATAATAATTCATGAAACATTATTTCTGGCATTGCAGATTAAACGTGCTATATGCATAACTTAGGTGTAAAGATGTGCACATATCACTGACAATCCCTCTTCTCTGAAATGAAGGTTGAAATGAAATGTTGCGTCAAGATCAAATGAGTTTGCAGAGATAAAAGTGAAACTGCAAAATTCTGCTGCATATATATAGCGGTCAATATAAACTCTTCTCTCAGATTGACTGTTTCTCAAACGAGGCCTTTCTCTTTCAGACTCAGACTCTCTCTTATCTATTACACCGGTGTTACTGAAACCTGTCAACCCGCCATTGGCTTATTAACCCCAAAATTTTGCCCAATAATGCTCACTCCATCTCCTTCTTTTTCATTCTATGAGGAAACAACCTGGAAATTATCATATCACCAAATGCGTCATAATTTCATAAAGATTAGAGGGGCTGTGAATACATGTTTAATCTTTTATGTTACATAATAGGATTTTGACAAATAAATAATAGTATAGTATTAAAAATAATACAAATATAATGTTATGTACACAATTCAATCTCACAAATTTTTCTTATAATTTCAAACGTAACAGTTAAGTTGGTAATATCACGACAGCTTCATTACACCAAAGATATAAAATAATTTTGACTAAATATATAAGGTATGGTAATTCTATAAGAAAAGAATGACTGTTTGATCAAAATTTTTCAGTATTTTAGGTGTGATGGAAGCTAATATAACAGTATTAATTTTGTTATCATATTAGGATGGTAAGAAAAGATTATAAAATTAAATTATAAAATTAGGTAGAATCAGGATTAGGGGAAGGCCTCATTCAGACCCGTTTCTTTTGTGGTCCGTATAATAGACTAGTCACATTCACGCTTTAATTCATTGAATTAACTAGTCGTGGCATGAGTATCTGAAATCACCAACTCATTTCTTCTCTATTTTCTTTTTCTTTTTTGTAAAATTTTTTTGGGTTAAATAAAATATTAAATTTGTGAACAAAATCATTGTACCTGAAGGCTGAAGCTGCTTTTGTCTTTAGATTCCCTATCTTTTGGGGATACTAAAAAATTATTCTAACTCAGGGAGCCTACGGTATAGGGGCATAGTACACGTGCTGAATTATTAACCCCATAGAGAGAGCGCATGGCTACACGCAGCGGTTCGTGAGATCACGAAACGTGGACGTTTAGGGCGCGTCGCTTTCACAAGGGAGATTTTTTTGTTAGCTACTGACGTGGTCGCCTCTCATTAGTTACTCTCATTGTCGGTAACATTACTGTTGCTAGCTTTGTTACAACTGTTTCTCATCTCCAGGTTGGCCGATGAATTTGAATTGGAATGGAATTTATTCTCTTTCCCGTGCTTCTCATCTCTATCAAACGATGGTGATGACATTATTGACGGACGTCAGATTCGGGCGCGTGACGCTAACTAAACACTGGAAATTAATCATAATTGCCATATTGTACTATAAAAGGTTGTGATGGAAGCCTATCATGTAAAAGCTGTTCTTCCTATTTCGTGTGTGGTCCAGTTCCCATCCACGGGGGTTTGTTTTTTCGACACGTGTTAGCAAAAGAGAGAGCTAGAGCACGCGGTTTCTATAAAGTGTTGGTAGCTAGGATAAGGTCATTTTATTTCATTTCATATGATATGCAAAATCTATGTGACAGTATATTGTTCTTGTGGTCAAACTTAAATTCATTTTGATCTTATGATAAACTTATATAAATATCTTATATTTGGGGCCTGTATATAATTTCATATGAAATTATAATCTATGTAACGCCTGAGTTCAAAGAAATTATTATGTGAGTAAATGTCTTTTTCCCATCCAAGGTTTGCCTTAATGACATTTTACACCAAAAAAATTTCAAAATACTATTTTCCCACCCAAAGTTTGTATTCCGTGAATCTTCAAGATATATTTCACTTTCTTAACCGGTGGATCGAATGGTGGTAACCGATTAAATATTCACTTTCGAAATTAGTTGAAAATCAACTAAGAATAAGAAACTTTAATTTTATAGTGACCGACAATCGACGATAAGTTAGGTATCAAGGTAAGAATGATTTTATAGAGAAGAGACTAGAAGTTCAAATAGTAGTGACAAAGAGAATTTTCATCGTCAGAATCGACCAGAATCAGCTTTAGGTATTAACATAATATTAACTATGGGTTGAAAAGTGATATTTTAAAACTTTTAAGTGAAAAAGTGTTATTAAGGCAAACCTTGGGTGGGAAAAGGTCATTTACTCAAATTATGTCCTATTTTGAAGAGGTATACTCATAATAGAATGTTCATTTTGACTTGACACGTTGAGATGCCACGTGTTTAAGTTGGATACACGTAGGTTTGTTTAATTGCAAATTCATAATGGGAAATGCCATGAATTTCGTTTGTGTGATATCATGTCTAGACTTTAACGTTTAGCGGTTGTTATATGCCATGAATTTGGTTTGTGTGATATCACGTCGGCTAGACTTTAGAGTTTAGAGGTTGTTATGTAGCCATTAGAAGATGACACACAAAGTATCGGAAGTATGAAACGATAATGTTTTAAAACCCGATCTGGCTTGGATGGTTTAACCAATTCGATTGGAAACCGACCATTGAGCCAGGCCAGGTTAAGTAAAAAACTGGGATTAATGATTCACCCATATTGACTCGTGATTGGACCATGGTTATTGTAGCGAACCATCGGTCCAACTGCTTTTAAGCCAAAACTGGGTTACTCTTAATCCCATCCTAATTCGTAAAAACCTAAATCTAATTTTTCCTTGTTGTGCCTAAAAAATAACACTGATGCTCGCTCTACCTTAAAGACAAAGTGTATTAGCTATCAAGCCCAAACTTTCTCAAAAATATTATATAACAGTTGTCCCACCTTTATCAAAATAAATTATCATAATGAATGAGAGCTTTTCACGTGTCAAAACAATTTGCAAAAACACTCGTTATATTGATTTCAAAAGTGTATAAATGAGCACATCTTTTTGTGAAAAAGGGGTTGGGCAAATGAGAGTTAGGCAAACATTTAATCTTTATTATTTTTTCTCTGTAAATAAAATATTTCTCTATTTTTGTACGCCTTACAGGCAATACCAGAAAAAGAGTAAGAGAATAATAAAATAATAATAGATGTAGGATCCGCTTTAAGCATCCGAACTACTATAAAAATCTCTCTTGTCAATCTATTATTTATGTTTCTGCAAACATATATAATCTCAACACCATAAACATTTTTCATGAATCATTCACGTATAATTTGTAAGTCAGCTTAGCACTTTGCACGTGCGAGTCGTTGGTTTCAAAATCAAGCATCAACACCCCTTTTCAGTTTTCATTCGACATTTTCTCACTTCCACTCGCATTTTCTTCATTTCATCTTCACCATTTCTGCATTTTCGGCAGTCATCGTCAACGCATTTTTGACAGCCTGCGTCAATGCATTTTCGGCAGTCACCGTCAACAAGGTAACGATCTTCAGTTCTTTTTTCGCCACTTTGGGTGGAATTAAAGTTCAAGTTCTCAGACTTCGCCTATCTCTTCCTCTTTGGCTGCCCGTGGAGAGTGGACAGATCCGAGTCGGCGGAAAGGGTTCAAAGAAGGGTCTCAAGCCCATCACGTGTTTAGGCCCATACGTGGCTCAACTATTGGGTGCGTGGTCAGTGCAGCCAACGGCAAACGTCATGCAAGCCACGAGTATGGTTTTTCTATTCCGACACAGCAGTGACGTGCATGGAAAAGGCAAACCTGACTTATATTTCTGAATAATACTTTGGGTACTAATGGATGGATACTAATTTGTGTACTAACTAAAGCATAGTATCCATACTATGCGCATGGTACGGGTACTATGCTTTAGTTAGTACACAAATTAGTACCCATCCATTAGTACCCATAGCATCACTCTATATTTCTCATGCATGTGCTAGTAAAACTCAAGTTTTGGGCAAACGATTCATGATTTTTTTTTTTTTTTTTTTTTTTTTTTTTTTTTTTTTTTTTTTTTTTAAATTAGATGATGAAGGTAATGCAAAACTTCTCTAGTATCTTGCAGAATATATATATATATAATATATATATATATATAATAATATATATATATATATATATATATATAGGTATTTAGGTCAACTTACGTATGTTTCGATAACGAAAGATTAGTGTAATAATCAATCATCAAGATTCTTCACTCTTAAAATCGCAAATGCTCAGATAGAGAATTAAATATGAGACCGTGGCGTCTATTCATACCATTCTTAATTCGTCCTAATAATCTGAACTACCACGATGGGTAATATATAACATAAGAAAAACACTATGCTTACTCATGAGTTATACTAACCGCCTTACTATCTTTGTTAAATTATACATAGTTCCGTACTATGCATATGGTACCCGTACTACTATGCGTATATTTACAAAGGATAGTAAGATGGTTAGTAAGATAGTGAGTAAGCATAGTATTACTCATAACATAATGCTTAGCTTTTCTTAAGAACTATATATTCTTTATTCCACTTGCTCAAACTACAAATGTTAAACCAAACCAAAAAAAAAAAAAAAAACAGAAAAAAGGTTGAAATGGAATTATATATTCTTGATTTCACTTACGTACATTCCATGAAACAGCTTTGTTTCAAGGTAAAATAATCAACAAAAAATGTTCACATAACAATATCCATGATGCTTTGTTCAACAACGCGTGGGTGGTCATATGATCGAGGTCCGGCCATTCTTCGCCTTGTAGCAGTTAGCGTTTCTTATATTTGCATGCACGAATTGGACTAATATATATATTAACTAGTCAAAGGCTAAAAATAGTGTCCAGGATTGAATTCTCCTTCAACGATTGCAGCGAATTCTTCCCACCACTTCCTTGCTTCATCGCTATTCAGCATGGTATATATAATAGCCTGTTGAAATTAAAACTATTGAAACTTTCCATAATTCTACAAGCAATTTCGAAAATTTAATCTTCAGAAAATATAGAATCACTATTGTATAATAGCAGTTTTGCGTGTTTTTCTTTTGATAAAAATGGAATAACAAACCTTGTAAAGAGGGAATCGACCATCAGACGGGATGCGATATTCTTCCTTGAGACAGTTACAGTTCGAGGCTTCTTCGTATTTTCCCTGTATAAGCAGAGCCGGCATTACCTAAAATGACTAGTAAAATAGTGATAAGGCAAAATGTTTCATTCAATTTGTCTTGTTACTCCAAACTTGTATTGCAGTTTTTCTTTTGATTCATTAACCAGTAAGATACATATATGTGTATTTGTTTACATATTTTTGTTTCATATGCGCTTGACTTTCTATAAAACCAAGGGTCAATCTGGTTCTAATTAACTGAATAAGGCTACTATTAATGGAGACATATTTACATACCTGATAAATGAGAATTTCTACTAACGCCATCTCAGCATTGTATGCAGGCTCAGGCTCATTTTGACATTGATAGTATAGATCTTGCAGCATTTCCACAGCCTCTTCGGGCTTCCCGGATTTCATTCTGCGCACTGCTTCCATCTACAAAAGTTGCGAATAAGAAATTGCACTATACATCATACCTTTCACAATCAACAGAAGTAATTGATTAGGTTTGCTTGACTTAACCCTAGCTTACAATGACAATCCTATTTAATCTTTGTCTATGTTTACTTAGCTTAGAAAAACCTAGTTCAGCAGTCCAGCCAAGCTAGTCTTTTCCTTCTTGTTTTTTTTCGAAAATCTTTATAGCAAGAGGAGGGTTTTAAGTGAAGTTTGATACCTAGTGAGGGATATGCAAAATGAATTTTACCCACAGAGAATAACTATCTAGCTTTGTAACTTAATTAAGAAGACAAGGGGATAACTATCTAACTTACTATCTTTGGGTGGTCGAATGGTTCAATAGGGACTCTTAAGTGTATTACTTAAGAGGTCTTGAGTTCGAGTTCCTTCTCAGTCACTAATAGAGATAGTCATTAGAGTTCTTATCCGGTCGATAGTTTTACGATCCCGAGAGATTAGTTGAGGTGTGCGTAAACCAACCCAGACTCCCCCGATTATTAAAAAAGAAAAAAAAAAAAGCTAGCAAATAAACAGTACAAGCTATACTTAAAGAAAGAAAATTTGAATCCAATATTAAGGAAAAAAGAAAAGCACAAATCACTGGGATCTATGGTACTTTGGACGACTATTAATTATCATGTAGAAGAAATGACTGAATTTCAAGAGTATATAAATCCGACCAAAAATAAACATAGGAAATTTTACTTAACACTGACTATATCACTTAAATGTGTAGGGAAAAGAGAATTAATTTACTTTAACGGCATTGATATCTTCCATTGAAGGCCCTGGAGGCACATTAATTATAGGTTGATAGAAGGGCTTTGCTTCACTGGAACTTGAAGCCAGCTCCATACTCACATCCAAAAATGATTTAAGTGCTAGGTTTCCGCCAATTGGTTGTGTTAACGCTGACGTCGGTGGAGCTTTCTGATACATTTCCTTGGGACCTGCAATGGCCTTATGATGATTCATCTTAGAACTGCAACTCATAATACCAACAACACAAGCCAAAACCAAAGATGCCCCCACCGTCCCTTTAACGATTTTTCTATCTCCCTTTTCATTTTTCTTTGAAGGCGTTGAAGACTTTTCGAGCTCACAAATCACTGCATTGAAGTTCAAAACATGCCCAAGCGGGCTCCGAGTAACATTTAAACCACTTGAGAGCGAAAAACAAGAATGGCTGGAGCGAAGTCTAGTTGTTTGTTTAAGTTTAACGCTCTTTGTGGAAAGATTCAGGTTAAAGGGAATGGCAGGTCGAGGAAAATAGCTTAGGCAAAGGGTAGATTCCATTGTGAAATTGTTTGTTTGTTTATGGATGCTGTGCATTTCCTGGTCATTGCTTCAAATGGATATAATCATATTGTATGTGTAGGGAATGATCTGGTAGAGGGGTTCAAGTAAGGCATATTTTTATTTTCCTTCAGACATAAGCAATGTAAGTTCACTGGAAAGGCATCATTGTCATGTAGCACTTTTTTTTTTTTTTGGTAACCGATCAAGGGTGTCCGGATTAGCTTGTGCACATCTTAACTAATCCCCCAAAGCCCTAAAGTTAAGGGCTGGGTACTCCTCCAATGACCACCTTTATTAGTAATCGAGAGGAATCAAACTCAAGATGACCACCTTTATTAGCAATTGAGAGGAATCGAATTCAAGATCTCTTGAGTAATACATTCAAGGGTGCTAGTTAACCACCTAGGGGTTGGTTATGTAGCACATTTTTTTTTTTTTTTTTTTCCTGATTCTTGAATTTGCTTATTTGCTTAAAGCTAAAAATCAAGTTATTACAAAGATGAAATCCCAATTTCGGATCCTATGTATTAATAATAGAAGGAGGGAATAACTGATTTTTTTTTTTTATAATTAATATTGTTATAATAAAGTTCTACTTTTTTCCTGATAGAATATAATCTCTAATAGCATAAAGAACCAGCTTTGCTTGAAACACAAGAGATTCCCAAGGCCTTCTTTTGGCTTCAATGGTGATTAATTCTGAGAATGAAGAAATGTTTAAGGTTCTTTACCCACCAAGCACAATGAAATTTAGAATAATAAGTGTCCTTATAACTCTGCTTTTGCAAAGCTTGCATTTCAGGCTTCAGGTCAACTTAATTCCAGCAAAAACAATAATTATGATTAGCACCCAAATAGCTTTCTCCAGTTAGAACTTGAAGAAACTTTTCATAGTTATCTTTTCTTTATTCAAATATGCATCTTTTCTCATATACCACAATCACAATCAGAAGTTTGTTTATCCAAATGGAAAATTTCTTCAACAACTTCACTATAAAGACTAAATATGGAACGATGGCGGTGACAGTAACGCCGATCGTTATCTTTGGCAGCATTTATATTGCATGGGCTTATACAGCCCGTGCATTTAAAAAGCCGCCGCAGAAGGTTCTTTCGAGGTCCCTGTCTCTTGGGACTCTTCATGGAGGCAAACTGGCCATGGAGAGACTGCTAGATTATCAACATGCTGTGGCTGATGCAGCAACATTGGAAGCTGCCGAGGCTGATTTAAAGGATTTACTTAAAGAGGAACGACCTGATTTCAAGAAGTTGCAGGTTAGGCCAGGGCATCTCTATTAATTCAACCAGATTAACATTATTTTTAGATAAAATTTTCTGGTCTTGAATCTAATTTGAGCCTTTTGTTAATACTTAATCATCTAAACTAACTTGATTTGCTTGTAGGATGAACACATTTGAATTATTAATTATAAAAGTATTAATTTAGTGAGTGTTGCATGTGCTTTGAAAAGCGCACAGTTGCAAAGCTGGAAATGAGCGGAAAAGAAGCTGATGCAGTCCGAATATTGGAAAAAGCGGTGCAGAATGCCCGAAGTTTAAAGAAAGAACATGAAGCTTATGAGCTTGAAATGTTGCTTGTGGAATTGCTCATCTACAAGGTTATATTTAATTTCCTGACTTAAGATTTTTTTTAATCTGTACATAACATGTTTTTGTTTATGTTATATATTATTTCCAGGGAGATTTCCAAAAGGTTTTAGGCTGCAAATGCTTAGACGAGGAAATATCCGACGCTCGGCGACCGCTGTACAAGGTTTGGATTGTTTTGGATTCGACACTCTTGGAATTTGATTGTTGTTATGATATGGGATTGATTATGAGAACGTTTTGCGAATATATTGAGTGCAGGCAATTGTTCATATAATGTTGGAGCACCCGAGAGAATCAGCAGAATCATGTTGGAAAGAATTTGATGAGCTCCGGCGACAATTCCAGTGGCCACCATCTCCAGAAGACAATCAAATCTATGAAGCCATTAAGAACTTTGATGAGTTTGAGAAGATTGTTAGGTTGCTCAAGAGTGACATCCTGGAGAAAATGAAACAAGATCATGTCGGATTATTCAAATAATAGATCATGTATCATCATTGTTTATGTATCCTGCACCATTCAGTATCTGTTTAACTCATATTAATCTAAACTCTTATTTATTAATTATCTAAAATGTGACATATATTAGAGATACCTCAGTTTCAGGTTCGATCCTGGACTTTACGTCTTCGAGTCTGCTCCTTTTAGTATTGATAAACTCCTTAAGAATGATGCTTCAAGGATGTTTTCATCTGGCAGTCCTTGTTTAGATGTAGCTTTTATGCTTTAATTGGTCTGCTTTGGGCTTCGCCCGTCTTTTATCAAAGAAAAAAAAAATTGAATAAAATTTTATCATATAGAAAATTGTTGTAAAAACTATAGATTATATATTCATATATACGATAAGTATTATTGGTTGCACTTAATATATTCAATTAAATTTTCCGAAAGAACTAAAAATAGGAGAAATTAAATAAAAATTAAAAACATAACTAAAAGAGTGTCACAGAAATAACAGTATTCTTCAGAGAATGATGGTAGGGAGGAAACACTGAAGCCCAAGAGATGGTAACAGAAAAAGAATGAAAATGAGATTGAGGTTGAGATCGAGATCAGATCAGATGTGAAGAAACTCATGGCAATGATACTTTATGGGGAAAGCCAAGCTCATCTACAGAACCCCTCTGTTATTACAATCAAAACTCCTCTGTTTTTCTCTGATTTACCTCTTCACCGTTCTGTTTCTTGCTCTTTATAACGCTCTCGCTCCCACAAAATGCATCTTCAGATCCTCTCCCTTTGATCCCATTCAAATCCCTCTCTTTTATTACCCTTCCACATATGGAGAGCACAAGTACGCTCTTCCTACCCACCGTTCTTCTTGCTCTTTACCTATCTTTTTCTCAGGTTGGTTCCTTTTTCTTAAATTCTGTTCTGTTTTCTTTATTCTTTGTAATGTTTTTTTTTAAATTGGGTTCTTTTTGTTTTTTTTTATTAGATTACTCGATGGTGTTGAAAGAGATCCAAGATTTGTGCAGAAATTCCTCGGGTTTTACCCCTGTTTTGAGGTATATGCAGGGGAATGCTACTACTTTTGGTGGAAATTTAAGTATCCAGAAGAGGATTTCTTTTTTTGATCATTCAAATGACAATGTGGAGGTTCCTTGTGGCTTCTTTAACAAGTTTCCCATTCTTCATTCTGGTTAGTTTCCCAATCTTTGTCTCCTAATTTGTTTTGATAAGCTTGAACTTCATATTTGTATGATATTTGATTTTGTGTGTGTATTTCAGATCGAATTGCCATGGAAAATTGTAATGGAGTTGTTGTAGTTTCAGCTATCTTCAATAACTATGACAAAATCCGGCAACCAAAAGGACTTGGATCGAAAACACTAGACGTTGTATGTTTCTTCATGTTTGTAGATGATATAACACTGAAAGGGTTTCATTATCACCAATTAATATCAAGAAAATCAAACGATTATAAAATAGGTGCATGGAGAATTATTAAAGTTTCAAGTAAGAACATGTATGACAATCCAGAAATGAATGGAGCAATACCTAAATACTTACTTCATAGACTGTTCCCCAACTCGAAATTCAGCATCTGGATAAATGCAAAGTTGCAGCTGGTGGTGGATCCATTACTGTTAATTCATACACTTGTCGTGTTAGAGAAAGTGGATATGGCGATATCGAAACATCCATTTTTCACTCATACCATGGAAGAAGCTATGGCAACTGCGAGGTGGAAAAAATGGTGGAATGTTGATGCATTGCAGAGGCAAATGGAGACTTACTGTGAACATGGGTTGCAGCCATGGAGTCCGGATAAGCTCCCATATCCCTCAGGTATTTCTGTGGTCTTCCATTTGATGTCTTGTTCTCAAAAACTGCTGATGAAAACCATGTGAAAACTTATCTTTGGCACTTTGTTTCCAAGCCTTTAAAAGCATAGAATCCTCTTTAGAATAAATTAACCCTCAAAGGCAAAAAAGATACACATTTATACAAGTGATAAATTTTTTATATGCTTTATTTAAACTATGGCAAAAATTAGGTTAATGGTCCATGAATTTGTTGAGAGGGTTTGAGAGTTGATGTGATTTATACTGAAATTTCTTCAATTCACATCCTTTGACTTACAATTAGAGATTCCTCTTGAAGATTTGGTAGAAAAACGAAAACTTTTGTGTCATTGGTTGATCTTAAAAAGTCAATTCCTTAAGTCTCTAAATACAGTATCTGTTGTAGTTGTCGACCACTTTAGTATTAATGGGCCACGCAGACGCGTTCGAAGGTCTCGAAGCGCCCCTGGCTAGTAGACAGTTTGGGCATTTTTCATGTAAAACCATTGAATGATTTCTTCAAGTTATTAATTTGTTTATTATTTCATTTTCTAATTAAATGAACCTTTCAGCCACCTACTACACCCACTTCTTCATGTGGGACAACCTTCTCCATAGAGTGAAAATGGTCCCAAAAACAAAACTTGTGCAACAGAAACATATACATTGTAATGATAGGCTCATTTTTGTTGGCAGATGTACCAGATAGTTCTCTAATAATAAGGAAGCATGGAATGAGAAGCAATCTGTTCTCTTGCCTAATGTTCAATGAGTTAGAAGCATTTAACCCCAGAGATCAAGTAGCTTTCGCTTATGTAAGAGATCACATGAAGCCGAAGCTGAAACTGAACATGTTTGAAGATGAAGTGTCTGAGCATATTGCGGTGGAGTACAGGCACAATCTTAAACGATCCGGGACCGGTTTCATTGAAGAAGGGTGGTCCTCTTCCAGAAAGACCAAAAGGACAAGGCATGATTTGTTTGTTAATAGCAGCTGCTGTATTAGTTGCCAGAAGTATTTTTCTAAGATGTGGGATGAAACCCGTGATTAATTTTGTCTCAAACTATATGTTAAAAAGAAAACGCTAACCAACGAACTTTCACAGGGAAAAGCTGACAGATAATAACAGGTAGGCAGATCATTAGTTCTTTTATCAATTATTGTTTAGTTGATCGGAGTATGTTATTAATTTATACCTCTTGATTTTTGTCCTCACTTAATTAGCTGTATCAGTAGTTAGAACCCACCTCGTATGATGATTCTTTCTTCCTGTTTTATTATTGTATTTCCTTCTTCTTGTTCTCCCCGCCGGTCCATTTAACTATTCTTATTTGCCCCTATTTGCAAAACGTTCTCTTGCTTACTAATATTTGCAAAACGTTCTCTTATTGGAAGCTTATTAACCTAACGGGTTGGTCTAGCGGTTAAAGAAGTTTGTTTTTTTCTTGAGTTTTTGAATTTAAACCTTGAAATCATTTATTACAATAACATTGTGACTTACCTTGTCCTTTGAACTTGTAGGGTATTCAATAGACTTTTCAAAAATTAATTGAAATGTACGAAAACTGGTTCGGATATTTCAATATATATATATATTGTATGCTTATTTCACATCACATGGGTCACCTCATTCCAATCTCTACAGAAAACCAATAAAAATTAAACGATCTTGTGGAGGGTATTCATAGTTTCATATTTTGTTTGAAGGAACTATAATTTCACAGAAAAAAAAAAAAAAAAGATCTTTCAAAGCATGGCCCTCCTACAAAACATGTTTCCATACAAACAACGTGCTGTGTCACAAAAAAACATGTTGCTTCATAAAAATATGTCTATCGACTTTTACCATAAAATTGACTCATCAGGTTTCATCACAACGTTCATTTTTTTGCTCTTTCTAAGAAACAAATGGTAAAAAGTAAATTTGTTGTTTTGATTTTCCGTTATATGAATATTAGTTTGCATTAATCAATTAATATTGCACTGGGTGACATGATGATAAAAGAGCAAAATAAGATTCCACTCCTGAATTCGAGTTCCCATATGCCCTAATAGGGGTGACAACTGAAAGGCTTACCTAGTCGTCAATTTCAAGACCCTAAAGAATTAGTTGAGATGTGTATAAACTAGTTCAGATAACCTCGGTCACAAAAAAAAAAAAAGTTTGTGTTAATCAAAGTTTCTTTTTTTTAAAGTAAAAGAAGATAATTAGAAAATATTGTAAAATTTTTAACTCAATACAAAACAAAAAGTGATGAAAATGCAGTTATCTCTACTGCTAAGCGTTATAAATGAGAGTGTCTTATTCCCTCTATTTAAAAGCTCCCTTCATGTTATCAAAGACTTGAGCACATGAGATTGAAACCAATAAAGAAAAAAAGTGAAAAAAAATCAAATGATATAAGAGTGATGAGGAGAGGTGATGGAACTTATGTAACTGATTTTCTTTATGGGGAAGCCAACTACTTCTGCCAAAACTCCTCTGCTTTTCCAATCAAAACTCCTCTGTTTCTCTCTGTTTTACCTGTTCATAACTCTCTTTCTTGCTCTGCATAAATCTCTTTCTTCAAAACATTGTATCTTCAAATCGTCACCCTTTCACCCTATTCAAACCTCTCTCTTCTCTTACCCTCCCTCTTATGGACAGCACAAATATGCTCTCTCTACGCAACGCTCTTCTTGCTCCTCCCCTGTATTTTTCTCAGGTTAATTTTTCTCTCTCCTTTTGTGCTCAATTATCAGTTTTGATAGTTGTAAGTATGATCTTTGTGTAACTTTTTTTTGGTTTCTGTCATCAGATTACAGAGTGGTATTTGAGAACATTCGAGATTTATGTGGGAACTCTTCGGGTTTTAGCCCGGTTTTGAAGTATATGCAGGGAAATGCTGATAGTTTTGGTGGAAATTTCAGTACTCAGAAGAGAATTTCTTATTTTGATCATGTGAATGATAGTGTAGAAATTCCTTGTGGGTTCTTTAAGAAGTTCCCAATTAGTAATTCAGGTTAGTTTTTATCTTCATGGACTGACTGAACTTTACATTTTGGTTTGTCTGATAAGCTTTTCCTTTTCTTTTCTTTTATGATTGTGCGTTTGTTTTTCAGATAAAATTGTAATGGAAACTTGTAATGGAGTTGTTGTAGTCTCAGCTATCTTCAACAGCCATGACAAGATCAGGCAACCAAGAGGACTTGGATCCAAAACCTTAGAAACTGTATGCTTCTTCATGTTTGTAGATGATGGAACATTTGAAGGACTTGAAGATTACCAATTAATTTCAGGGAAATCTCAAGAGTACAAAATAGGGGCATGGAGAATTGTTAAAGTTTCAAGCAAGAATTTGTATGAGAATCCTGCTATGAATGGAGTGATACCTAAATACTTAGTACATAGACTATTCCCAAACTCGAAATTCAGCATTTGGATTGATGCCAAGTTGCAGCTGACTGTGGATCCATTGTTATTGATTCATTCACTTGTGGTTTCAAAGAATGTGGACATGGCAATTTCAAAACATCCATTTTTTACTCATACTATGGAAGAAGCAATGGCAACTGCAAGGTGGAAGAAATGGGGCGATATCGATGCATTGCAGGCGCAAATGGAGACATATTGTGAGAATGGATTGCAGCCATGGACTCCCAATAAGCTCCCCTATCCCTCAGGTATGTATAAATTTTTCATTTTAATTCGTTGTACAAGGCTTTTTCTGGATTCACACATAAAGTTCAGTATAAAGGAAATAAATGAAGCAATTCTATGCGTAAAGCAGAAGGAAATAGCTTTTTAAAACGGTTGGAGGAATGGAAAATGTTATAATTAGATGCCTAGAAAGTTCTCAATTGCACAAGTCACAGTCTCTACTTGAATTTTATATATAATCTTGAAATAATTAATCTGTTGATTTTGCGTATTGACTGAGTGCGGTGCCTACTGCCTAACTCATTAATCTGTGCTTTTTTACAAGCTAATAATACCTACTTTGCACTGAAATTTCCACAAAGCGCGTAAGATCAATCCACTAATAATGCAAGCTATGGATTTTCTTTTGAGTAAAGTAAATGGATTTTCTTGAATACATATCATTAGGGATGAGCATGGGTAAAGGGTAGAACCGTAACTGGAACTGGGAACCGGAATCGAGGTCTGTGTACCCAGGTAGGAACTGGGACTGAATTATAATTTTTGTAAATTATTGGGGGTGTATTATCATTTTTTTAAAAGTAGGGGGTAATTAAAATTAACTCAGGTACTTGGAACCGAAATTGGAACCTATGTTTTAGGTTTCGATTCTAGGTTTCTAAGAAACGAAACTGGCCAGTTCCAGTTTTGGTTCCTTAAAAAAATACAAGGTATCCGAAACCGATCACCCTTTCATATCATTTGATATATATTTTAAGTAGAATTGAGGGAAGAATTGCAACATCCTTTACCCACCTCGTCAAGTGGGGCTCTAAGAGTGCGATCATTATGAATTTTCCTGACTATCTCATTTGGTGGGACTTGAATTTTTCTTAGGTACCCACATCTTTTTAATGTTTAGATTTCACCCCTCGACTTTGAACCTAGATATCATCTTTCCAAACGAGTCAAAAGCACTAACTGAGCTGCACTAAAAAGAGGTGGGTAAAGAATGTTACAAGAACAATCTGTATTATGGTGTTCCAAGTCAAGCAGACTCATAGATTAACTATAAAGTAATCTAGTCACATTAGAAAAACAAAGTTGAGCATCTTCTAGAATGGAAACTATTTATTTAAGCATTTTAAGTTAAGTATATACCCCAATTGATAAAATTAATTTAGACTTTTAGCATCTTGTTTAAGTTGTCTTATAATATTCAACTTCCACTTGGCCACTACCCACCAATCCCTTCCACAGAAATAGAAAGAGAAACTTGCAGTAATGTTTTCAGATATCTTATAAAATAGACCTAACTCCATACCGCCAGCTACTGCATAAAAGCTTCAGAACATGGCTTGCATTAAACATAAAGTTGATAGTGGACCCTGAAACGCCAAGAAACTTTGTTTAAAATCAAATATTAAATTATGGGTTGTTACATGCATATACGTAAAATTCAATTTGTTTATTATTTTAATGAAACTTGTATTGGCAGATGTGCCAGATAGTGCATTGATTTTAAGGAAACATGGACTGAGCAGCAATCTGTTCTCTTGCCTTTTGTTCAACGAGTTGGAGGCATTTAATCCGAGAGACCAACTGGCTTTCGCTTTCGTGAGAGACAAAATGAGCCCCAAGCTTCAATTGAACATGTTTGAGGAGGAAGTGTTTGAGAATATCTGCGTGGAATACAGGCACAATATTAAAGGCGTTGAGAAGAGGAAGATTGCTACCGCTTTTGTCGGTGAAAAAGGGTTCAATTTCAATGGCAAAAGAACAAAACAAGATTTGTTTATTAATAATAATGGTAGCCATTGCCAGAAGTATCTTTTGAAAATGTGGGGGGAATCCCATAATTGATTTTTGTCTGTAATTAAACCTTCATTGTAAAAGCTAACAAATTAACCAACATATAACAGAGGAAAGCTGACAAACTATGACAGATGGTCGGGATTAAAGTGTTCATATCTTTTCTTTTTTTCAATATTGAAAGCCTTCTTATACGCTGGAATGGAACTCATTTAGTGTACAATATTTATTTGTTTATTATTATTTTTTTTTTTTATAATCAGGGTATTCGGATCAATTTGTATACATCTTAATTAATCTTTAAGGTTTATTAAATATCTTACAAAATCAAAGGACCAGATAAACCATAATATTATTGTGATAAGTGATCTTAATATTTAAATCTAAGAACTCAAAAAATTGAATAAATCTCCTTAACCGTCACATCAAACCTTTAGGGTTTTGGGTTTGGTATACAATATTTGGTCTTTTCAAAATCAGGTTCTCAACTGCCCATTTCAAAGTGGAAAATATATGTTAATTTTCATTTTCCAGCGAGATCATTCATCAACACCTCATATTCCAAAATTCAGAGATGGTATGCTTGACAAAATGTTACTGCACTACCATATTCCTTTGATCACAAAATCTAAGGGTTGAAATTTTAGAAGGGCAAAAAAGAAAAATTCAACCATCCAACGGTACCAAGATATCTCAATCATTTGATAATGAATCATGATCCTTATTATAAAACACCCTCTGTTATATCAATTTTATAATTAAGCAAATATTATATAGATCAACTCCAAAGGGGTTAATCTGGTGATCAAGAAAGTTTGTTTCCTTTATTGAATTCATAAGTTATATTTGTGGTTTATTTAGAACATTGAGTTTATAGAGTATTCAATGAACCTTGAAAATTAGTTTTGGTGTGGTCAAACTGACCCAGACACTCCGGTTATAAAATATATATTATATTGACTTATCATGTATCTTACTCTTTCCCATATGGCCACTCCCATCACCTTTCTTGAGCAGAACACTATAACTTGTTGCATAATTTTTGCTTATTCTCTTAAGCATCCAGCGTGCATCACATTCTCAACCTTCAAACACACGAATAGTGATATTATTATTATTGTTATTATTTAAAAAATTTAAGATGGAAAATATTTGAGTTGAAGCAAAATGATAATCATGTGACAAGTTGAAGCCCATTTTGGTAATTTCAACTTGCCAAAGCTGGTCCACTATATAACAATGGCCAACCAGACTAAGAGATACTCCCACACCATTAACAATCTCATCGAAGCTCAGAATCAGCTGAAAAAATAAATGGCGACTCAACAGTTGATCACTGAGAACAAAGAAGGCGCCGAGATCCACCATGGTGCCGATCTTTGCAAGCAAAAGTGTCATGAACTTCTCGCCGAATTCAACCTTCCTAAAGGTCTTCTCCCACTTAACGACCTCACCGAGATCGGTTATAACCGCACCACCGGTTTCTTGTGGCTCAAGCAAAGTAAACGTTACGAACACAAGTTCCGTGCCATCGGAAAAACCGTTGCTTACGATACCGAGTTGTCGTCGTTTGCTGAGAACGGCCGGATTCGTAAACTTAGTGGAGTAAAAAGCAAAGAGCTGTTGATTTGGGTGAAGATTAATGAAATGTGTATTGAAGATCCGAGTTCTGGGAAAGTGAAGTTCACTAGTGCAGCTGGTCTCAGCATGTCTTTCCCACTCTCTGCGTTCGAGCTCGAAGAGAAGGACCAAAAGTGAACAAATAGAAATTGTTGGGGTTGTTTTGAAATTTCAATAAATTAATAATTTGTCATTTCTTAATTTCTTGATAAATCATGTTCATCTTCTATGTATGATTTGAAATAAAGGTACTATTAAAGTATCGGTAACGTTAACTTGGTATTATGTATAACAGTTTTCTGAATGCCATCTTATGTAACATGACGACGCTCGATTCTGGCGACTGAAATCTATCCAAATAGGTAGATTGTTAGCCAGTGATTTCTCACATGCTAGGGGTGTGATGAAAATTGGTCGTCCGATGTTGATTTGCTTGAAATTATTTTTAAAATTTTGAAATTTTATATTTAAACAAAAAATGAAGAATATATTTATTTAATAAAATGAATTAAGGGTATTTTAGTCCAAAAGCAATAAATTGTTTTCCATTCCATTAATATTTCTTATTACGAACAAACAAAATAATCTTATTATATTCATTCTTTTATTGATTTCTATTCATAATATTTTTATTCCGTCTAATTTCTAATCCACAAAACAAGCATGACCTTTGGTGTTGTAGAATTTTATTTAAGAAAATAATTAATACATCTAATAAAATTTTGGCAGTCGCACTCACGTTTCTTGCACAAACTGTATTCGATCACCTTAACTTGCTGCACAAAATTTGCATTTGTAGAATTTTATTTAAGAAAATAATTAATACATCTAATAAAATTTTGGCAGTCGCACTCACGTTTCTTGCACAAACTGTATTCGATCACCTTAACTTGCTGCACAAAATTTGCATATTTTGTTAAGCATCATGCCCATCATGTTCCTCATCGCCGTCTTCACACAACAAGGCATATATGGTTTAGTAAAAGTACAATCAGCTCCACTACTTTTATATAGTGACACTTTTATCCCTAAAACAGTAAAACTAATTAGTGATGGCAATGGGCCGGGCCGGGACCGAGTACCCCTTGGCCCAGGCCTAAGCTCGACCTCATGACAAAGGCCCAAGCCTGGCCCAGGCCCGTCACAGGCATGATAGATAAAGCCAAAGCCCAGCTCGACAGGTTTTTTGTAACCTCAGGCCTGGCCCAAGCTCGCCCATTTTTATAATGTGAATTTTTAAATATTAATAAATTTTAATTTTTTTATATATTTTTAATTATAAAAATAGTTTTTAAATATTTATTTATTTTTGAATACTCATCAAATGGGATGAGATTAGGGTTTGAGAAAAGTGGGTATATAAATGGGATGAGATTAGGGTTGGGCCGGGCCTGAAGACATACCTAGGCCTGGCCCGTACCCGAGGTCGAGCCTCAAAATTAGGCTCAGGCCTAAGCCCAAGCCCGCAAACACCTGGTAAAACCCGCCCTTTTCGGGCTGGGTACCCGAAAATATCGGGCCCATTGCCATCTTTAAAACTAATGGACGTTGATGAATTTTAACAATTGATATAGAATCTCTTATAGAATTACAATTCTACCCTCTCTTTTTTCATTTTTGTCCCTTTTCTTTTGAATTAATTCAAATCAACACATAATCATATCAAAAACATATTAATAATTTTTTTTTTTAAAATTACATTAATTTCTATACCACCATGTCTCACCCTGCCTGGGTCGCGACTAATAGGTCAAGCTACTAGTTCAAGCAATGTCAAGCCATCATAATCTATTGATAGTAATATCCTACCGTCATGATCATTTACTTAAATCTTAAAAACTAAAGAGATTCGAATATGAGACAAGACGCCTTAACCACACATTCAAGGCTTGTCCTACCACTTGAATTACCCAAAGGTTTTGGTGAGTTGGTTAATTACGTATCAGTGCCACATTAATTGGAAGTTAATATAATAAACTTTTTTTTTATTATTAATATAATATTGACACATTATCAGTACTAGTTATATCAATTATATATCATTTAATTTATTGATCGGAGGGGAAACGATCTCACTTTGTAAAAGGAGTGGAGCTAACGTTGTTTTAGTTAGCCATTTAGTAAAATAAATTAAAATCATGATCCCAATATGGATTCATAGATTCTTCGATATCATGTTCTTTCAAATAAAAAAATAAAAAATATAGTTCACATTTTATTTAATTTGATTAGTTTTTCATACCACATGCATCATATAGATTCACCGGATTAAAAAATTGCATATGGATATGAAGCTGCGATTTTTTGAGAATATTTTGGAAATTAAAAAAAAAAATTCAGAAAATTATAATGCAAGTAAACTCTATCATTTCAAACTGCCTATTGCCACTATATAAGAATTGCCACCCAAAAGTCTCCTGTCAATGAACCAGTAACAATCTCATCGAACAAAGAAGCTCAAGTTAATCCAGCCAAAAAAAAGGAAATGGCGACTCAACAGTTGATCGCAGAAAACAAAGAAGGAGCCGAGATCTACCATGGCGCGGATCTTTGCAAGAACAAGTGTCATGAACTTCTCGACGAACTCAACCTTCCTAAAGGTCTTCTCCCACTTAACAATCTCACCGAGATGGGTTATAACCGCGACACCGGTTTCTTATGGCTCAAGCAAAATAAACGTTACGAACACAAGTTCCATGCTATTGGAAAAACCGTTGCCTACGAAACCGAGTTATCGGCGTTTGCAGAGAACCGTCGGATGCGTAAGATTAGTGGAATAAAAAGTAGTGCGGTGTTAATGTGGGTGAAGGTTGGTGAAATATGTATTGAAGATCCGAGTTCTGGGAAAGTGAAGCTCACCAGTGCAGCTGGTATCTCCATGTCCTTCCTAACCTCTGCGTTCCAGCTCGAGAAGTGAAACTCGTGGGGGTTGTTTGGAAATTTCAATAATCAATAATTTGTCATTTCTTGATTGTGCTATATGGGCAAGAGACCATTTAATAATCTTCGATGTATGATTTTAATTTTATCAGCAAACCATTTGAAATAAATAATAGTGAATCTTGTTTAAGGCTCCCTCGATGTCACAGTGTTTCTCTATAATTGACATGAAGCATTGTCATTGTTTGAACGGTTAATTGTGATGTAGTAGCAGTTGATGTATGTCGGATCCAGATTAGAGATGGCAATAGGTCCGGTATTTTTGGATACTCAGCCCAGCCCTGCTCGACCTGAAAAGGTCGGGTTTACCCAGTGTTAGTGAGCTTGGGCTTGGGTCTGTGACTGATTTTAAGGCCCGCCCCTCGGGTACGGACCGGTCATGGGTATGTCTTCAATCCCGGCTCGGCCTGACAATTTTACTATTAATTTTACTAAATTGCCTTTATATTATATATCTAATTACAGAATTATCCTACATATGTATAAAAAATATTTGAAATTTATTAATATTTGGTGAGTATTAAAAAATAAATTAATATTTAAAAACTGTTTATAGAATTAAAAATATAAAAAAAAATGAGATTTATTAATATTTAAAAATTCACATTATAAAAATGGGCGGGCTTGGGCCGGGACTGAGATTACAAAAAGCCAGTCGGGCTTGGCTTGGGCTTTACTCGTCATCCCGGTGACAAGCCTGAGCCGAGACTTGGCCTTTGTCATGGGGTTGGGCTTGGGCTCAGGCCAAGGGGTACCCAATCTCGGCCTAGCCCATTGCCATCTCTAATCCATATATATGATATGTGGGTTCTCAGAGATATTGTCCATTTTGGGATTTGAGACCCGCACATATATTGTCTACTTTGGGACTTGGGACCTGCACGGTTTTGTGCTGAAAAGACACATTTGGTGGGTAGGTGGCTTCCTAGAGGTATTGTTCGCTTTGGAACCTGTGGTCCGTACAATTTTGTCTTAAAAATGCGTCTTTGGGTGGTGATGATATCCTTGTACTATATAAGCGATCAAAACTCGTCTCTTAACCAATGTGGGACTTTGGCACCAACAGTAGCAAGCTTGACCATGATATAAAACAAGATTTTAAGTATACTTAAGGTACATGTATTTTTTGAAGGAACCGTGTTGTGGCAAGCGCGGAATTATAAAAAAAATTGCCATGGCATGATCCCTTTTACCCAAGATCATGATTTTGACATGATAATCAACATAAACTAAATCAAACAACCATTCAAGGTTTGATTTAATACCTTCGTTGTCGGCTCCTTCTTTTGATGTTTTCGATTAATCGCTATCATCCCAACTCAGGATTGAGTCCGTCGGTATCCACACGAAGGCAAGCTCGAGATCACCCTAAGATTAATTGCTAGACCAATCTTAAAACTTAAGGAAGGGAGGCATAATTAAGAGAATAAAATTCTCTTGTGTGGCTAGGGTTTCATGTTTTTGGGAGAGAAAGAAAAATAGTTTATTTTTCTTCCAACTATTTTGACATCCAAAATTATTATCCAACTAAAAACCCTCCTCCTTTTAATATAGTGTCCATCCAAAAAGGAATTCAAATAAGGATTCCAATCATTGAATTCGTATCAAGAAAAGATTGCACCAATCCATAAGGAAAGGATAATATCTTTCAAAGATATTATCCCATTTAAATATTAAATATTAAATTAAATAAATAAAATCATTTATTCAATTCAATAAATATATTTATTTATTTAATCCACACACACACACACTTATATATATATATCTCCATATTAATCAAAATTAATATGAATCCAGTTTTGCTAAAAACTCTTCCAATAAATTAGAAATGACGTCAACCCCTTAGCAAAATTACCAAAGTGCCCTTTTTGCCCAAAATGACAAAAATGCCCCTAGACTACCAAATTATCGAAATACCCTTTTCGGCCCAAGGACAAGATTATCCTCCCATTTCCATCCTTCACTTAACTACCTTTTATGTATGTGACCCGAAGGCTCTCTACTTTACTGGCAGTGTCCCGATAACTAATTAGGTATCAACCAATTAGTGTTTTCGTACAGCAATCAAGATTGTCCTCTGGCAAGGGATCATGATTCCCCAGTAAGCAAAGATTCAACGATCAAGCTTTCCTTGTCCACGGTATAATTACCGTGCAATTTGATTTGTTTCATCATCTTATATTTCATCAAGGTTTGAGGTATAGAAGTAGTGTCTACCTCAAAATTATTACCTTAACATGTTCTATGTTTGGACTATATGAGATTGGATTTGAGCACCAACTTGATTACACTATGGCCACGACTTTGCAGTCGCAATTCTTTAACCAAATATCTCGCAGAGATAAAGTCTCCTGTAACTAGGAGCAATGAATCCTTTGTTGATGCACCATAGCCATAGTATACTTCCTAACAAGGGTGGAAGAAATAATCCGAAAACCGAACCGAACCAAATATTAGGTTTTTTTACAAACTGTTTGGTTTTCAGTTTGCAAAATTTAAAAAACTGGAAAACTGGTTCAATTTTCAATTTGGGATATTTCCCAAACCAGTTTTTAAAATTGATTTTACCCTAAGTATATAAGCAAAAATGTATTTTGTTTTCTAGCCTTTATTTTTTTGCAATATCTCACTACTCTCACATTTCTATTTCTCTTCTCTGCCTCCAATCTCCAGTTCTCCACAGTGCACACTCCACACCAGACTAAGCAGACTCCACTCCATCTTCGATTCTTCATTTCTTCGCACTTCGCCACTCGCTAGTACCCAGTAGTGCCACCCATAGTGAGTTGACAATCCCACAGCCATCTACTCCAACATCTATTTCACCGACACCCACTCACCCAGCATCACCATTCACCACAACAACCACCCACTCACCAGCGACAGTCGACGAGCCAACGATGACAGTCCACAGCTACTGCATTGTAGTTCACAGCAACCCCCACTCCTTTACAGTCCACAGTCCACAGTCCATAGCATCACCACAAGGTCCACAACAACCACCCACTCACCAGCGACAGTCGACGAGCCAACGATGACAGTCCACAGCTACTGCATTGTAGTTCACAGCAACCCCCACTCCTTTACAGTCCACAGTCCACAGTCCATAGCATCACCACAAGGTCCACAACAACCACCCACTCACCCACAGACCACAGTCCACAATCCACAATCGTTGCTCTGCGGTGGATCTATTACTTGAACCAGAAACAGCGATGATGTCACGACTCCAGTTTCTACGCTGTAATTCACAACTCCAGTTGATGTGCTATAGTTCACAACTCCAATTTCCACCACTGTTCAGATCTACAATCCTCAGTTGCTCGCCTGCTCCACGACCAGTAGCTCGTCGCCTATTCAGCAAGGTAATGCATCTTTTAATTCAACAAGAGATCTGGTGAATATTTAGACATTTTATAGAACTATTTAAATTTTGTTTTATTTATTTTCTTATTTAAGTTCATCTTTCTTTGTTTTGTGATTATATAAAAGTGAGTTTAGGAGAGTAATGGTGCAATTTGGATATTTGATGAGATAATGTGCTTGTACAATGCCTTTCATTTAATAAGTATGAAAACTTAAGGATGAGAACCAACCCAAGTGATGGTTTTCCAAGGAGAATTACTCTAACACTTAAAGTATATCATACAATAAACCAAGGATAAGATCAAGAGAGAGAAAATTTATGCCCAGTAATACTGTGACTGAAAAAATTTAGAGAATCAAATAAAGAAGTATTATGCCTATGGTTCGAACGTTTGTTTAGATTTTTTTTTTTTTTTTTTTTTTTTTTTAGCAAAGAGGGGCTACGAATTTGTGTTGGATGGACCTGTGAGTGACTATGTAGTATGGAGCATACATTATATTGAATTTGTGAATCTGCATTAGTGCATTGAAACTGGTGGCCTTTTTGGTTTTAAATTGTGTAAATTGAATTGAATTTGTGTTGGATTTCGATCGACCTGTGACTATGTGTAAACTGGTGGCCTTATTTTTTACTATTAATTGATGGATGTCTTTATAATTTATATATCCAAAATTTTCTCTTTTATTTTTAGTTATTGTCAATAAATAAAAGAATATGATTTATATGGTTGTCTTATTTACTTAATGCATATTTTTATTTGATGGAATTATAGATGTCATCAGTTGCTGACAATACTCGTGAGACACCAACAAGTACGACTTCAACTCCAAATTCCATGCCACCACCAACAGCTTTAGCCCCCAAACGTGCAAGGGATACAAGTACTAGGAAGAATAGTTCTCAAATGTGGGGTCACTTTGTTAAGAACGATTGTGAGAATAAGGATGATTTGACTGCAACATGTAGTTATTGTGGGGGTGTTCTAGCGTGTCCAAGTAAGAGTGGTATGAGTTGTCTACGTAACCACTTAAATAGATGCAAAAAGTATCCTCCAAATGTGGCGGACAAGAGACAAAAGACCCTAATTTTTCAACAAGGATCACGTGATCTCTCAAGCGGCATTGCCTTCTCCTCATAATCTTCATTGGTGTCATGGAAATATGATCCATATCTGATTAGAGACGCTATAGCAAAAATGATCATTGTTGATGAATTACCTTTTAGTTTTGTGGAGTATGAGGGATTCCGCAACGTGATGAATGTGACACAACCTAGGTTTCAAGTACCTTGTTGGAGAATTGTGACTAAAGATTGCTTCAAAATGTATATTGGAGAGTGTCAAAAGTTGAAGAAGTTTTTCAGTAAGTTTTCGCACAGAGTTTGTCTGACGACTGATACATAGACAAGCGTTCAGAACCTTAATTATATGTGCCTTACTGCGTATTTCATCGATGATCATTGGCAGCTACAGAAAAGAATTTTAAATTTCTGTCCAATCACTGGTCATAAAGGTATAACGATTAGCAAGGCAATTGAGAGGTGTTTGCTTGATTGGGGTATTTATAGGGTATTCACAATCACAGTAGACAATGCTAGTTCTAATGATG